TTGTTATGTACAAAAGAAGTATGATTTTTTTAATTTTTTAATTTTTATTTGAGGGGGGGGGGGGGGCGGAGGGTTATAGATAAGTCACTGATTTTTCGATGTGTGCCCCCTTCCTTTAACAGAAGCCTGGATCCGCCTCTGCATTCAACAACAGCCCCTCCCTTACCTCCCTCACTGGCTTTCCGAAATGTCGGACTGCCTTATTAATACACACTCATAATTTTTTTTTATACCAATATGATGGGTCGAGACGCCCCCCCCCCCCCACACTCCCTAACAAATGTATGCCTTAACACACGTGGTCATGTAATGCGGTAGAAACATTTTTACCTGTACTGCGGTGGTAGGTGACAAGTGCAAACACACGCATTATTTTAATGCTTTGGCACTCCGTAGGCTACCATGAATGTTTAGTCGGACGGATAGTACGAAATGTACTACTAAACCTGAACGAATGTAGAGAAGGTCATGTCGTGATGTAGAAAACCTGAAGTCAAGTTAACATCTATGTATCTGTATGCGAATCCATCTATATATTCAGAAAGGAGGGGGGGGGGGGTGTGCTTTTAGTTAATGGATAGCACGAAATTTATTCGGAGTCATCGGTTCAGCTTAACTGATTCTAGTGTGCTAAACCTGAACAAATGTTAGGGTTTTGGTTCTCATGTGATATAGAAAGCTTAGAGTAGGAAGCCCCTTATAACGAATGAGAAGTGCGACGTTTCTTCTGAAATGATTGGTGCAATTCTACTGTAATTACTATACCTGAATGAAAGTTGAAACAATGCCGCGTTTTCGTTGGTGCTGAAAGCATTGTAAAAAGCAGGGGGTGGGGGGTTACCTTACTCAGCCTGCAAATGACGCAAATCTACAAAATGGATCATAAATCCCTTCTAATGACATTGGTGAAGGTCATTATTCACTGGCACACAAAGTTCTTTGACGTACGTTTATAATGTTCACTGGCACACAAAGTTCTTTGACGTACGTTTATGTTTGTAAAAACCTGTTTAAAAGTACGCTGTAGCGGGGTGGGGGGGGGGGGGGTGGGGGGTTACCTTACTCAGCCGGCAAATGACGCAAGTCCACAAAATGGATCATAAATCCCTTCTAATAATATTGGTGAAGGTCATTTATTCACTGGCACACAAAGTTCTTTGACGTACGTTTATAATGTTTATAAAAACCTGTCTAAAAGTACGCTGTAGGTCTTACACCCCCCAAGTGTCCCATCACTAAAGAACAAATCTTTTGAAAAAGAATGTGTCGGGCATTTCTTTCGTGGAGCGTGAACCAACGTGTCATGCTCTTGAATTGGGAACAATGCAGCGAATTAAGGGTGCAATTTTATTTATGAACGATTTGTTTGAAATACAGGCTGTGTACGTTCACTAAGACTACTGCTTCACAAGTTCGCTCTGCAGTGCAAAAATAACAGGAGATGCATGAAACACACAAAGTACATGTAATACATGAAATAAGATATAATACATGAACCTAATCTCACACCTAATCTCATTTTCCAGCACCAGTTCTTTATCAAACTCTTTCAAACATCTCTCTCCCTCCACCCTGTCATATTCTTTTTTTTCTAAAACAGCATCCTCCGTTCATCTTTCAATCTCTTATTCTTTCATTCTTCCCTCTCGCTCTCTTTTATTCTGCTTATTCATATAATAATGCTTCAATTACAACTTTTGGGATGTAATTGTGTCTTCTTAATTGACTAGATTTGATAAAGCAAACATGAACACGTAGGAATGTATTTAATTAATTGTACATTATCATTTTAATAACTCTAATAAAAGACTTGTTTATACAATATTACAATAATCAATGAAACACAATTTATATAAATATGAAAAATGCAAAGGAATACAAAGGGCTGAATTTGATCTTTAACAATCAAATAAATTTCAATCTTTATAAAGAGGAAAAGAAATCAGATAATGAATCTATACTTCTTACATTTGTAAACAAATTATCTAGGTAACTGCTAAAAAGTAAATAGACATAAAAGGTTAATCATTTGGCAGACTACTCATTACAAATCAAATTGTAACCATTGTTTTATCAAGTTACAGACTCTCTCTTTAAGCTGCAGATATAGATATTTGACTTAGCAGCTAGCCTACTCTTCAATGTTTCATTACAAAAGAGAAAGAACTTTTATTTAGAGTTTTGTTTGTTCAGAAGTGGAATAAATTGAGAAAAGGCAAGAAACTAGCCTTCTAACTTTATAAAATATCAGTTAGAGAGTATAGAAGATTATTCTATTCCTGTTGATCATAGTTTTTTTCTTCACATTGATCTTTGAAAAACTCATCATCTGCTTGTGATGCAGATGTTAAAAGATGTTAAAAAATTGATTATATCCAGTATAATCTATAAAATATTTAATGTTATAATTTCCTTTCTTCCTTTGAATCCAGTTTTCATATATAGCACACATACCTACATGGTGAATGACCTAGGAAAATCTTGATAACTGATGTATCAATAATTTATTCTAAATCCCCCCTGATACCATAAATCGTCCCTATTTTCACGAAGTGACGGTAGTGAGTGAAAATCGCATACAATGTGAATGCAGATTTTCCTCACTACCGTCACTTCGTGAAAACAGGAACGAAATGTAATAGAATGATGAATAATATAAACTTTTTGATGCTACTATGTTATTGGATAAACAGCAATACATTTACCTACTGGGATTTGAACCATGATCCTGCAGTGCTCAGTCAGTACCATAACCACTAGACCACTATATACACCTTCGACTTCCCAAAGCAATGTATATGCTAATTGCTATAATTTTTGGCCATTTGTAATGAATATATGATTGTGCAGTACACATTGAGACTGAGAGCTTGCATGAATCCTAACATTAATAACTTAATATACTTTACCAATACAAAGATTAAAAATTCTAAATTTGTGGAATGAATAACCTCGGCTTGTTGCGAATTGGCCTACTCTTCAACCCAGACAAAATGATAAAACACATAGACGATTAAAACGTACAAACATCTGTGAAAGTTGTCTTTTTGACATCTTGAAGAAGCCAAAGCCTATGATATTGTTTTTTTGATGTGATTTTTATTTATGAAAAAATAATTAAATTACTAAAACTGCATGAATTACAAGAATGAAAGAGAGAAAGAGAAATTCACTCTCTCTATCGATACAGACGAGATTCAAAATACAATTTTGTAGCTGAATATACATTTTATGGCACATTTGAAATCTTTAGGTATATTTATCTTTTGCTCTTTCCGTCATATATCTTCATCCATACATACAACATCACATATTCTTTTAAATATCGGTACAGAATAGTACGTCATTAGAAATTCTTACCAATAGACCGGTTTACTAGCATATTCTACTTTTACACATACTTTTTAAACAACGGTTGTTCTTCATGACCTGAAAAGGCTGAAAGCTTGCCCAACATAGCAACAACACAATATATATTCAGAATGGATTTTGAGTATTGTAGTTCCCTCATTAGTAACATGTAAATGGAATAACTTGTCACTAGGTCCCCAGGAAAGACACATCCATAAATTTAAACTGGTTTATTACCCCCACAACTCCAAGGAATGAATGGCACATGAGATAACCTCAGAACACACAATATCATATTAGTACATGTGTTATGCATTTTGTTGTATTATTTTTATCTTTTCGAATCTCAAAATAACTTTAAGTCAAAGACATCCCAACCAATTCAAAATGTCATTACCGATTGCCATCCATGAATCCCTCACCCCCTCTAGTTTCCTCTAGATCACCATCTCCTCTCCCCCCTCCTTTCTCTATGTTTCTTATCCCTCTCTACCCCTAGCACACTTATCCCCTTCTCTGATTAATAAAATCATCCATTCGGAGCCAAGAGGGCGCTAACTCATATCTTGTAACACAGAGTTACCCCTTTCTGGCTCAAAACAGATGTTACGCCCCAATATTTTGTAAATTTACCTCACGTACATGTATCTTGATCTGGATTACATGTACACACCAATACAAACAAAAATTGTATCCACACACACACACACACTAATATGGCTCTTCTATAATGATTGTGCCTATGAAAATGGTTTCTACTAGAGTTGAAAAGTTCTAATCTATCGAAAGTCAAAACTGTGGACAAAATGTAAAGTGTACTTATTACTCCATTACATCACTTTGAAAACTTGTTGTTTTTCAAAAAAAAGATGACATCTCTTTCAAGTCAGAAGGGTGTTAACTCTGTGTTAATTGCTTATGCCCTTCTGGCTCCGACCAGATGTCATTCTGAGTAAATAGATGAACATTGTATTTCAAATAGTACAGGTTAAAACACATTCAAATGACCAATGGAGTTGTAAAACTATGGTGCGGGAAAAGTTGTCTCTACTTTTGGCATGTAAACGTACTCTTTGACAATTTATAAAGAAGATTGCATTTAATCAAACAAAGTACAGTTTTAAGGCATCCATGCTTTTAAAAGTGAGTCAACAAAGTCACTCATAAAACACAATCAACTAGAAAACAATTCATTCGTCGACACAACATTCAGTGACAAAGATTCATTCAAAATTTTCCTTCAAAAAGAAACTAAATCTGGAAAAGTACAAACAAATAACCTGTGAAAAAAACAGAATGAAAAAACTTAGCACTCTTGTTCATGAATGGAATCTTTTTTTCTGAAAATATCCTTCAAAATATTTGGAATGATAGTTTTACATGTAGTTTCCACAGAGACACACATCTAGCATGCATTTAACGACAGCCTCAAATTGGCCACATCATGTTCACTAAGTTATAAATAATTTGCCTTGGGCTCATGTGATAAACTACATTATAATGTGATCTTTTATATTCTAAATTTCTTGTCTATGACAAATATCTTAGTTGATTCTGAATGGCCCAACGTGTTCTCCTCCAAACTTGTATAATGTACCGCTAATGGCGTATGTATATTCCAACACTGCTTAGTGTAATTGATTTGCAGATCAATCAAGTCAAGATAAGATTGCTCACGACTATTTCCTTAACTCATTGATTGCCGAGCTTGGGAATTCTTTTGTTCATAGCCCAGTAGTATGCACACAAATAGAGAAGAGAATGGCCACCGAAGGGTTCATTTATACTGAGATCATTCTGCTCATTTCCCATATTTGCTTTGTTGATTGATGATTTAAATGTCTTAGATTAAATGCTGGCATGAATACATAATGAACCTAGTTGTTTTGAATGTGAATACATTTGCTTCCAGAACAAAAGGGTTTATTTATACTGAGATTATTCTGCTCATTTCTCATATTTGTCGTAATGATTGATGAATTAAATGTCTTAGATTAAATGCTGGCATGAATACATAATGGATGAACCTAGTTGTTTTGAATGTGAATACATTTGCTTCAAGAATACTGTCTTCACACATCACTCATACATGGATTACAACTGATTTCACAAAATAGAATACACCCTCGACACAGCATAACAGAGTGACAACAAAAGATGCATGACTACGTAGAACTCCAGTGTTTGGTCAAGTACTCTCAAATCTTACAAACAATTCTTTTCCCCTGTGTACTCTGTTGTTTTTCCCCTTCTCCGCGCAGACAGCGAGGAGAAGAAGAAAAACATCGGCACAGAGGGAGGGAGGGTCATGCTGCCGTTGACTTTGGAGATCTTCTTGATGCGTGTCTCCGGAAGCTTCTGCTTTACAGAGTATCGCTTGCGCCTAAAACAAACTCTGGACAGGGACCGATGACTGATGAGTAGTCCCATATGGCTGGAATGATGTCTGGAAGCACCAGACTCTAAGACTATATGATGCTGGAGTCGTGATGCAAACAATGTTGGATTTGGTTGGAGTTTGTTGTGTATGGATGGGACAGCGAGATGTTTTCTCATCACCAAGCCAGGCGAGGGGCCCCGTTTCATAAAACTTTTTATCTATAACAACTGCTAAATTTCAATGACAAATCTGCTCTCAGCCAATCAGATGCCATGATTCAGTAGCTTATAACAGTAGCTTGTAACTTGTTATTGATAACAAGTTTGATGAAACGGGGTCCAGGATGACATCTGGTGATGCTCATCTTCCCCAGATGTGGACGTCTGCGAGTGATTCTGCTAATTCTTCTCTTCTACTCCGGGCGTGTGTGAGCAGCGAGAGGACAGGGTTGATCGTGGAGTGTTGACTTGTGTGTGGAGGATGGGATGCGGGTGAACAAAGATGCGTTGCCGATGGATACGCATCTGCAGAGGGAAATAGGAGAGAGAGAGAGGGGAAGAAAAGAAAGGTCTGATGAGTATTTGTGCAATAAAAATAGATTGCAGGGAAGATGGTTTCAACATACGCGACACGTGAACAAAATTATCCTCCACAGATGTTTTTGTGATTTAATCCTCTCTGATTTTCATATTGTATGCTTATAGGTTGGAGCATCAAAGATGGATGTTTGCTTGTGGGTGAAAGAATTGTATGGCTTCTATTTCCTCAAAAATTCTCTGATAATAAAAGTGCATCACAATTCACCACCACTAAATTCTTCATACTGTAACAATCAATGTAACAAATACCTAAATCAACTTACAAAATACAAATAATAAGAAAAATATGACTGCAATGCATTTATTTACATGTACAATATATCAATACTTTATTATTCAGGAGAAAAGAAAATGTAAATATAGTCATGAGAGTAAACAAGAGATCAATAGATGTTTATGAAGAACAAAAATGAGGGGGGGGGCGGGGCGGTGGGAGGAGGCAAAACTGTGTTAGCAGTTTACAAATATTATATCAAACTTGTTGTGCAATTTAGATGTAAGCCTAAAAGGAAGCATGATATTGAAAATGGAATGGAATATTATTCAGCCTCTTGGTAATAATAGTATATAACAATGAATTACGCGGGAGAAAATCATAAACACAGATACCAAGTAATACTTGATTATGCAATTCCATTGTTGCTCATTGGATTTGTCTTTATCTCCTGTGCTATCTTGGGAATTGAAAGCTGAATTTCATTGACCTAGATTCAAGTGAATATTATTACACAAGGGAGTCACTCATCACGGTCAGCACGACAGATATGACCACACAAAATTAGATTGATCACTTTAATCAAGCATCTCTTTAAAGAGAAGGTTGATTTCTGGGAAATCTCAAAAAATTTTGTTGCAAATTTTAAATTCTTTTGTGTTAGTATGGAAGAATATCACAGGAGAAATGTCCCCTGGGAAGGGTTGCTCTTTGAATTCCCTCATATTCCCTCATATTTGAATATGAAGAGAAATAGCTGAAGTGTTTGGACAAAACAGTTATGTCCCATGCATATGCCTGTGGGCTCATTTTTCTGGTACTGTGCATGTGATTTTCAGCAAAATTTATTTACTTCCATCAATTTATTTAATTTTTTTTTGATGGTTCTAAAACATGACTGCATACAATTCTAAATAGAAAATCAGCCTTTTTCAATAGCTGCTACACTGTTTCTTTCACAATTGCAATTTTCATCTATCATCAAGCCTCTCTTTAAAACAATCCGTAGTGCATCATCCTCGGACGATGATGGGCTGGTTCTCCCTTCCTGCTCATTACTCATTCATAAGAAAGATTGGTTATCTCTCTCCATTTCATCTCGGTATTAATATTGGATGACCTGATTAGCATGGTGGCGACTGCTCTGGTCAACAGACAGACCCGGTCAGTACTGTACAGCCAATTCCTTTGCATGATAAGGCCAATGACGAAAAATAATTTTCACTTGAAAAAGTACCGGTAATAAATTGCAAACTCTTGTGTGAAATAATGGTAGTAATATTAAAGATAAAATCACTAAAGACAATAGGATGCATGGGTGGCTTTCCATTTCCCTTTAATCTCTTCTCTCTCCCCTCTCTCTGGTTCTTTTTTTTTTTTAAATAAATGTATAGGTGAGTTTTTTGTAATATGTAAGAATTTACCACCTTTCACAGAGTCTCACTGCAAAATTCATCTTGACAGGAGTCACTAGGCCTGTCCTCATCAGCTCAAGTTATTATCCTGACGCTCAAAATTGTGTCTTAACCAGAAGATACGCTCATCACAAAGTAGCTCTGACAGGTGTAAATTAACCCACTATTTCCCAAATAGCGGGATATTTAGGAAACAAGATCAAGATTTCTCAGGATATTTTCTCGAACAAATATCCCGCTAATTGCAACTGCGGGCTGATGAGGACGCGAGTTAGCTGGATAATTTGCGATCGGGATCGTTAAAATAGCAAGTTATTTGAACTCGAGCTGATGAAGGCAGTCCTACTATCTTGCCACCGGTTCATTCAAAATTCAGCCACAATCTATCAAGTTACACTGGCATCCTTGTCCAGTCCACTTCACAGAGATACCTTTCATCACCGAGGTGAGGTGAGATTCCTGAGGCCCGACCAGAGACTCATCTCCTTGGTGTCATCCCTGCCAGACATTATCTGTCCTATTATAGGGGTTAACCCTTTCAGCCTTACTACGAGGATCATGATGATGCAAGGGAACCTGGTTTCACCCAGTCTAACTCTGTTGTGTCATCGATGGCCAGACATTATCTGTCCTGTTATAGGGAGGGGGTAACCCTTTCAGCCTTACTATGAGGATCGTGATGCAAGGGCGTCAGGTTTACCCCAAACCCCCGATTCAGATTGATGCATTTCCATTTTGAGGAAATTGTCATCTCCGAAGCATCATCCTTGCCATAATCGTCATCTGTCTTGGCCTATCAGATTAACCCTCTCAGGCTAATCATACAGACCGTGATGCAAGGGTGCCTCGTTTGACCAACAGCAACTCTGTTATGAATTGACGCATTCATGTTTGCTTGAAAACCTTTTTTTGGGCTTAAATGTATACGCAAGTTGTGGAAACTCCCCCTCTCAAAAAATGAAATGGAAGCTCTTATTACCATTTACCAATTTGTGAAAGAATATGTTTCGACTAATACGCAATGATAAAAACTTTGCAGGGAAACCGCCTACTATTTGGTAAATTATCATATCGATCAAGCCTGGATATATATCGCGAATGCACTCCAACATTGAACATTTGGGCATATATTTTTGCTTTTTTGCGAATTTAGGTTGAAGTATTGCCATCTCAACCTCTGAAGGCAATATTTAAACAATATTGAATGGATATATTGCACCCTAGAACCGCAATTATACCACTACTGGTCTTAACCTTTAAAGAAGTTGATCGGGCCCCATTGCATAAAACGTACCACTGATGGTAAATTTGCCATTAATCTTAAAAGCAGCAATGAATTAGAGGTATTTCAATGTATTTGCCATTTAAGCCCTTGACCACTGAGTTCTACAATTCCCATAAGCTTAACACAGTGACCACTTGGTTTCAGTATGCAATGGGTTAATCCAACCTCGAGGCAAAATCATTCTATACTTGCACCTAAAAAATTAAACTAGATTGTGCATTGCCCTGTGTTTGCTAAAATCATCCCACATTGAGGCTTACATATTATTCCATGTAATATACACCTAAAAATTCATTACTTGTCACCCTTTTTCAACTTGTTTAACACATGGTGTTCTTAATCCTGTTTCTCTGAACATTAATGTAGTCTTCTACCCTCTTTCTCGAGGCACGATGTCTTTGAAATCCTTCGCAGTGCCCTCTTTTTGCCTCGCTTGTTCTACTTCAGCCCATGAATAACATATCACCCATCATCCCCCTTTCCTTGTTTTGATCGTCTCATTAACGAACGTGTGGGACAGGCTACAAGCCTCCAAAGGGTTCATTCACACGCAAATCAGTAACGGTATACTGCTTTTAAAAAGAAATAAAGTGCTCAGCAAAATTTAAATGAGTAAAGCATGGTGTGATTCGATTTGATTCCTGAATGTAAGCGGTCAATAGTATGTTGTCCCATATATAGAGGTATAATGGTCTAGTGGATACGCCATTCCACTTTGGATCACATAGTTTGTGGTTCGGCAGGACAAATGTCCTTTGGCAAGGTATTAATCGGCATATGCCACTCTCCACCCAGATGTAGGGCTGCTTGGCTAAAGCCAGTGTAATGATAACACTTTGTAGACGCCTTGAACATTCCCTGGGATAGTTACATGCACAATGTGAATAAAGCTATTATTAGTATTATTTCTATTAGTTATTATATGCTACCAATTTCATCAATTTTCTAACATAACTGATGATTCTGTCAAGCTGAAAGCCCTAGCTACTAGAGTTTGAATGCTGTAATCATGGACCTACTAGCTTTAATCAAACCAAGTATAAAGGAATGTTGAATTTGCTATGTTATTTCTTTTCAGACAGATTTAACCTTAAAAATGCACAGGACAGACAGTCCAAATACCCTGGACTTCCCCCAACAGAGGGCAGCGAGGACGCACCACCGCCATTATTATTGCATGTAGTTGCAAATTTTAACAACCACTCGACATTCACGTTGCCACTTGCCATCGATTCACTTGTAACGTTGCGCTGCAGTGGTCTTTCACACTGTATATCATTTTACTTCATCAGGTCTGAATGGGGTCTGCCACTTGTCTTTAATTCCCAGTAGACAGCACTGCCTACTTACAGACGTGTTAAAACCTCCTCTATGGCACTAGAGCAACATTTGCCTATTTTCCTCGGCACCTTTCTCCTAGCTAACATGTACAGCAGACAACAACCACAGGCTGTGTAATTTCCCTCAGCCTGAATAAGATTTTGTCCCCCACTATTATGTTTATACAGTTGTTCAGATTCAATTTGAGGCAAAAATTAGCTCAGATTGGCTAGAAGATTAGACCAGCAACAGGCATTCTATCGCTCTCAAACATTCCTATATATACATTTGAAGAAACTAACAATTTAAAGCTCATAATGATCAATATCTTGAATCAGCAACATTCTGATTTTCCTGAATTTATCATTCAAGTGGTGTGGAAGATTGTACTGAAAACCAAGGAAGAAAGAGGAAGGGGTCTCCTTTTATATATTTATATTAAAAAAATAAAAATGATGACATACAAGTATTCTTGTATGTCAGAGAGATTTCAACACATGCAATAATGCATTCAATACTCCATACACCGAAGGATACAGAATAGTTTGGCCATTCCCTTCTACATTTCTTAAAATTAATTATATACAGACCTACATAGTAATTGAAGAAGTGCTTTTACCCTAAATGTTTTTGTTTATCTCTCACATCTTCTATTTTTCTTCTCCCCTTGGGCCTTTCCAATCTACATTCT